GGCGTTGTGCCGAAACGCTGGGCTTCGAAATAAAGTGTTTCACTAACAACCTGTAATGGCATAAAAAAGAACAAGATAAGCTAAATAATGCCAAGATCTCAAGATAAGAGAACATATGGACTATTCCACATTATTTTTAGGATAGCAGTCGTGCAGTGAGCACTTTGGTCACATTTTTAAGTAATCAAAATGGCCAAATCAATTCGTGAGGTTGCCAGATGGATTTTGCGCAACACCCTCATCTCCAGTGAAAGCCTAACTCCGGAGATACGTCTCCGACTTATCACTGAGCAAAGTTCTCTGTGGAGAAGTAAACCTGAGTTATGTCCTTTCGTCGATCCCTTCTGGGCCTTTTATTGGCCAGGAGGTCAAGCAGTAACGCGGTCAGTACAAGAAAATTGTCCATATAATTAGATCAGTTATTTGAATTTAGATACATTCTCGACAATGTTTCCCTATTCTATGGAGCAAATGTGCTAGATTTTGGATGTGGATGTGGCTCAGCGAGTATTGCCGCGTCTATGGTCGGTGCAAACGTTATTGCCAACGACATTGACGAAAGTGAGAGACAGTTTTTTCGAAAGCTTTTGTTATAAGTTCAAATGACAGATTTAAGGGCTGTCAATAGTTTAAGCAATTGTTTGTACTCATCACTAATTACTTTCACGCAACCAGTCTTCTTTTTTCTTTCGAACATAGTTTAGTGCTGAAGTGATCTTCGATTTCTGATTTTTTCAAAATAATGCAATGACAATATTGTGTTGCGAAGTCAACACCTCAACAGTGGGTGTAGACCCTTCTGAACCGCTCTGTCCTAGAGACAATACATCTGTCCTAAAGAGGATAGCGCGCGCGTACGCGTTGTTTGCGAAGCGCCGCCCAAAGTGAGTTGTGCCACATCCACATTTCGAAAATCTTTGCTTTGCCATTAATTGACTTCAACAACCAACATTAATCAACTGTTTATTCAACTACTACGACTATGGTATTCGACAATGATCTAATTCAATTCCTAAATCTGTTGCTGATTTATTTTATAGCTATTTTAATCCTGGGTGTGTTCCAGGTTGTTTATGCAGGTTGTCATGACTTTTGCCACATGAACCCTGCGTAGAGAACTAGAATCCCGGAAATTGC